TTCGCTCTTACTTTCATCATGATGAACACCATCATCTCCATCCTGGCTCTGGCCATCACCTCTTCTGCCACGCCTATCGCGCTCCCCAACTCGGGGTCTGCCGTGGTTGCGACACGCCAAATCTTCTTTGACCGCACCAGCTTGACCGAGAATGAGTTCTCCAGCCGGTTGGGTGGCGGATGTAGAGACGTCATCTTTGTTTGGGCTCGAGGATCTACCGAAGCTGGCAATATGGTAAGTCATCCGAGGGCTGCATAGTTGTGTTTTGGTTTAACTTGAGAGAACAGGGCTCTATCATCGGCCAGCCACTTGGCGATGAGCTGCGCCGCGAATACGGTGACGACCTGGCTATTGAGGGCGTCGACTATGCAGCGCTGCTTTCCACCAACTATCTGCCCGGTGGCACCGATCTCGTCTCTGAGCGCGAGATGCGCGGCATTCTTGAAGACATCAACAGTCAATGCCCTTCGGCTATCATCGTCTGCGGTGGTTACTCGTACGTACCGGCCTTTGTCCAACTCATTCAGAGACTAATCATGACCACAGTCAAGGTGCAGCAGTCAACCACCGTGCTATCGAGGATCTTTCCACCAGTGTCAAGAACCAGATCGCGGGTGTTGTCACCTTTGGCGACACCCAGAACCGCCGTGACAACCAGCAAATCCCCAACTTCCCCCGCGACAAGCTCCGAATCTTTTGCGGTGGGCTCGTTCGCGACACGGTTTGTGACGGTAACCTCGCAGGGGCTGTTCTACTTCCTCATCTCAGCTATGGCGATGACGCGGAGGAGGCTGGCGAGTTCTTGATTGGAAAGATCAATGCGGTTCGTGCCGCTAAGGCTTAGATTATTTTGTGTGGATATCAAGGCCTTCTCTAAAGCTTTTGATTTCCAGTAGGACATTTTAGGCATAGGGGTTTAGAATAGGAGAGAGGAGGAAGTGAATGCAAAATGTATTGATGCGCATGCATTGAGCGCTTATTGGATGGAAAACCGGGGAAGCTTCAGCCCTGCACAGCCACGAAGGCAGTGACATGGATTTCAGGGCGCGTCGTGTACCCCGCATTTGTCGCTCATCTACCGCTCATCTTCCTTCCTACAGCCGAACTAAATCGTATGATTGTCCTTGATCTAGCGCGTTGTTTATCTCCACCCGTGATGCGCTGCAAGTGCGGTCATAGACATGGCGTCAGATTCTATGTGCAGCCTTGCTGTGGACAGTATTGATACATCTGCATCAACCATACCTGAGTCAACGAGCGACTCGGCGCTGGAGAGTCCTTACAGACCTCTGGGGCCTACTCAGATACGCATCGTGGAGATACTACCCGGCGACTTCGAACAACCCATAGAGATAGTCCTCAAAACTGTCGATCTGGAAGACAAGCCAACATACGATGCTCTGTCGTACGTTTGGAATCCGACTGATGGCACCATTGATGTCAGCAAAGCACTGCAACCAGCTGTTATAAAGGGGACCAAAGACTTCGTGATACAAATCACCAGGAACCTCGATGTTGCTATCCGATACTTACGACAAGACAAGTTCTCCACATCTGCGTTATGGATTGATGCGCTATGTATCAATCAGGATCTCGCACTGGAGCGGAACCACCAAGTCGGGCTTATGAGCAGGATTTATTCCTCAGCAAACGACGTCCTGATATGGCTTGGACCGCCTTGTCAAGACAGCGAATTTGCATTCGAAACTTTGTCAAGCGGGAAATTGGTCGAACATGACATAGACCGATTTATTGATGCTCTAGAGCTTCTAATACGCCGAGACTGGTTTGGTAGACTATGGATAGCACAAGAGTTGACACTATCTCAACAAGAACCTATCATTTTTCATGGCTCCCAAATCATGGACTGGAAGGCCTTCGTGCTTTCCATCGAAGTAATAAAGGATCGGATTGAGGGTAAAGAGAATCTACTTCAGTCTCAATACCTACCGATCCTCACGACTGTCAACATCGAAGGGATATCTCCGTGGATGAGCTCATACCTTCCAGGAGTGGTGGCTCGAGCTGAAACTGTTCTGCAGCTTGGAAACATGAGAGATGCTGGATCTAAAGCGAGCTTTGCCGATCGAATATTGCATACTACGTATCTACAAGCTACAGATCCACGGGATCGAGTATATGGATTGCTCGGATTCTCTAATCTCTACATACGATCGATTACACCAGATTACACCAAGTCCATCACGCAGCTCCATGCGGAAGCTGCCATGGTAGTTATTCTTGAGTCTTTTACAGACTATCTCTACTTCTAGGATCGATTCGATACGAATGCCTCCAAAGACGCCAATGTCTCTTGGTTTCCTGACCTGGAAATGTTGGTTTTGACTAAACGATCTGGTCCTAGCTTCTCACCACCTCTTAGCGTTTTCCAGAAAGCGCTCGATACTACAGGTATCTCACGTCCCACGATAGCATTTTCGGATGATTGTCAAAGTTTTCACACCTGCGGTAGAGTCCTGGGAAATATCAAGTTCTTTGGTACAACCCGTTTGATGGGATCGCACTCAACCGAACTGGGGTTCTGGCAGTTCATATCAGAGCTTGGGGATGAGATAGGTGCCAAGAATATTGTGTCTGCGTTGCTAGGATATTCCATGCTTCCGGAATCCGACAGAATGGAATTGACAGATTGTTTAGCATTGTTCGTCGCGCAAAACAAGCAGCACATTGGCGACCACCCGCAGGCGGACGAGACACTTGTGAAGCTGGTGGCATCCTATAGCCGGGAGCTTACGATTTTCCTTACGGACACCGGATTCGTGGGTGTGATGCCCCGGCGATGTTCAGAAGGCTTAGAAAGCTGTGTCGTAGCTGGTTTGTTTGGTATCAATATGCCCTTCATCCTGGAGGAGACATCTGATGGGAACTACAAAATGTTCAGCATGGTATTTCTGGCAGATCATGCGCTAGGAGATGTAGATTTTAAAGAACTGTATAATCAGGATGAATGGAGCAACGGGCCACTCCAAGAATTCACGATCATTTAGTTTATAGAATAGCACTGTTATAATTGTGAACTACATCGTCTCATTACATCCCTCCTCTAAACTACTCAAGCAAACAACCCCTTAACCAGCCCCTCAACAGCTTCATAAACCTGACCTTCCTTCTGCCCGCCAGTAGCTCTCTCCGTGATGACGGGAATCTGATCCTTACCCACCTTGTAATTTCTCAAATCGCTATCCAGCTCCAGATCCTTCACCAACTTCAGCACCCTATCACCTACCTTCTCCGCATCAGCCTTGGCATCACCAGACGCCGATTCGCCGATAAAAGGAAGCAAACGAGCAACTTGCTCCGCTGCAGCGGGGTCTTGAGCTTTGAGCTTAACCACATGTCCGAGAGTGAGACAGGAAGTAATGCCATGCGGGATACTATAAGGAGAACCTAGTGCGTACCCCAGAGCGTGTGAGAGGCCTAGACCGCCCTTGATGTTGTAACCCAAAAAGCCCAGGGAAGCGAAAGCAGCGAGTTGAAGCTTCGTGATCACATCTTCGTCTTTGGGGTTTTGCTTGTACTTTGGCAGGGCTTCGAAGAGGGTGGCCGCGGACTGTAGCGTTAACCATCTGGCAGGCATCTCGGTGGCGGTGGGATGGTATAATAGCTCGATAGCATGATCCATGGCACGGAGACCTGTTGACATCCACAGGCGCTGGGGGGTATGCAGCGCGAACTTTGCATCGTAGATTACGCAATGAGGAACGAGTTCTTTGGCTCGCACACCCGTCTTGACACCATCGGATTGCGTGTAGCCAGCCATCAGGGTGCATTCACTTGCGCTGAGCGTGGTGGGGATGGCGATATGGTGTAGATACTTTCCGGTCTTCTCGTTCAGACGATAGCTGATGGCTTTAGAGCTGTCGATCGGGCTTCCACCGCCAATGGAGATGACAGTATCGATGCTTTCGTCTTTCTTGACTAGGTCGGTAGCTTCGTCGAGTTGGGCGACAGGTGCGTGTTCGCCAATCTTGGAGAAGGTGCCTGCGTGCTTGTTTCCCAATAGCTCTTCGACTTGCTTTACCAAGGGCGTTTTGCTAGCAAGTGAGTTTCCGGTGATGATGAAGGCTTTGCTTGACTCTTTTGGGAGGCATGAGAGGAGATGCTGTTTGACTGAGTCGGCGCCGTAGTGTAGTTTCTGAAGTTGCGTCGGTTGCCAGAGACCGGAGAGGGGGTGGTTCGTTGCGTCTGTCATCTTGGGCTTGGTTTTAGTCGAGCTGAGTCGAATGCTCAAAGGGCGTCGGTATTGAGTACCAGATGGGCCGATCCCGGTGGGTGTACAAAGCGGAGAGTACTTCAATGAACAGTGTATGGATTTGGTGACGATTGATCTAGTGATGATGGTCCCACGCGCGATGAGGAAACCTTGTTTGACTGCAATGTGAGATGGAGTCATAGGAAGAGGCTGTTCAATCTGAGGTTAACTTTGCGCATAGTCAAAGGCCGGAAGCCAACGGTTGTGAGGTCGGCTATGACGTAAGACTTTAGCGGGTCGACATTATGAGGTTATCCCGAGGTTCAGATAGCGGGGCACAGAAGATCATGTAAGCCTATAGTGTGGTTCATTGATCACGATATTAGCGCAAATGTGAGGACAGTAGCATGAACATTTCAAATCGTAGATTGTAGAGCGGAGAAGTAAGCGGAGTGCTACCATCTCGCATCTCTAGACTATGGTACATTCATGACTCCACCATTATATCGTCCCTTCCACATCGTGTCCTGACCACCAGAGGATATCACTGTTTCGTTAATTCCGACGTGTACCAAGGATCCGTAAGGGTAATAAAACAAACGCTAATGTGAGAAGAGAAACCGTCGGAAAGTATGATACAGAGATGCTCAAACATGTGCAGGGACATGTACACGTCTAGACGTGACCTAAACCAGACCAATCATGACAGGATGCAAGACGCCTACTTTTGGACGTAACGAAGCGATCAACAAGAAAGACAAAAACCAGTGCTGAACGATCAAAGCATTTACTGCTTCTTCTCGCCCTCACCCTCAGGCTGCTGAGGCTGCTCGCTCTGGTTTTGGCTCTCGGAGCGGGCCTTGTGCATCTGGTCGAACAGGCTCAGGGAGGCGTTCTGGAGTTCGTCGGTCTTCTCCTTGATCTCAGCGGCGGTGGCAGAGCCCTCGCCAGACTGGCTCTGGGAGATGAACTCGCGCATGGAAGCGATCTTCTCCTTGATCTTCTCGGCCTCAGCCTTGTCGAGGCGGTCCTCGAACTCCTTGAGAGCCTTCTCAGTGTCGTTTACAACACTGTCAGCGCGGTTGGCAGCCTCGATGGAGTTCTTGCGCTCCTTGTCTTGCTCAGCGTACTGCTCAGAGTCCTTGACCATGTTCTCGATCTCAGCGTCTGAGAGACCAGATCCGGAAGCGATGGTGATGGACTGGTCCTTGTTGGTGGACTTGTCCTTGGCGTGAACGTGGACAATGGAGTCAGCGTCGATATCGAAGGTGACCTCAATTTGGGGTACACCACGGTGGGCCGGGGGAATGCCAACGAGCTGGAAGTTGCCGAGGAGCTTGTTGTCGCGGACAAGCTCACGCTCACCCTGGTAGACCTTGATCTCGACAGCGCTCTGGAAGTCGGCAGCGGTGGAGAAGACCTGGGACTTCTTGGTGGGGATAGTGGTGTTACGGTTGATCAAACGGGTGAAGACACCACCGAGGGTCTCAATACCGAGGGAGAGAGGAGTAACATCGAGCAGGAGGAGGTCAGTGACCTCACCAGCAAGGACAGCACCCTGGATAGCAGCACCAATGGCAACAGCCTCGTCGGGGTTGACCGACTTAGCGGGGTCACGGCCGAAGATGCTCTTGACAGACTCGGTAACCTTGGGCATACGGGTCATACCACCAACGAGGATAACCTCGGAAATGTCGGTAGCCTTCAAGTTGGCGTCCTTGAGGGCCTTGCGGACGGGCTCGACGGTGCGGGTGATGAGAGGGTCCATCATCTTCTCAAGCTGGGAGCGGGTGAGCTTGGTGTTGATGTGCTTGGGACCGGAAGCGTCGGCAGTGATGAAGGGCAGGTTGATGTCGGTCTGAGAGGAGGAAGACAGCTCGATCTTGGCCTTCTCAGCGGCCTCACGGATACGCTGGATGGCCATGCGGTCGCTGTTCAGGTCGATACCCTGCTCCCTCTTGAACTGGTCAACGAGGTGGCGGACGAGAGTGATGTCGAAGTCTTCACCTCCAAGGTGAGTGTCACCGTTGGTGGACTTGACCTCGAAGACACCAGCCTGGATCTCAAGAATGGAGATATCGAATGTTCCACCACCCAAGTCGTAGACAGCTACGACGTTGTCGGTGGCCTTGTCAAGACCGTAGGCGAGGGCGGCAGCGGTGGGTTCGTTGACGACACGGAGGACGTTGAGACCAGCGATTTGACCGGCGTCCTTGGTGGCTTGACGCTGGGAATCGTTGAAGTAGGCGGGGACGGTGACGACGGCGTTCTTGACGTTCTTGCCCATGTAGGACTCGGCGGTCTCCTTCATCTTTCCAAGGACGAAACCTCCAACCTGGGAAGGCGAGTACTTCTGTCCTTGGGCCTCGAGCCAGGCATCACCGTTGGTGTGCTGGACGATCTTGTATGGGACCTGCTGGATATCGCGCTGGACCTCAGCATCGGTGAACTTTCGGCCGATGAGACGCTTGGTAGCGAAAAGAGTGTTCTCGGGGTTGACGACAGCCTGGCGCTTGGCGGCGATACCGACGAGACGCTCGCCCTCCTTTGTGAAACCGACGACGGATGGGGTTGTGCGGCCACCTGTGGATTGGGTCAGCGGGATGGCCAATTTTGGTGAAAAACCAGATGAACGTACCCTCGGAGTTCTCAATGATGCGAGGGACCTTGCCCTCCATGACAGCGACGGCGGAGTTGGTGGTACCCAAGTCAATACCAATGACCGAGCCCTTGACCTTCTCCTCGCCGCCCTCAGCGTACCCGCGCGTGAACATGGCGGGGGCCCTGAAGGCGGGTGTGCGTCGCGCCGCCGAGGCCGCACGCGGTAAAAACTATGATGAGGTCAGAGAATGTCAAGTATATTTGGATGCATGCAATTGCTTACGGTCCGTGATAATCTCGAGGACAGCATTGTGGATGTGAGAGACGCTGCGGGAGGGGATGCAAGCGACAGAAGATTGGGTGCAGAGGTGGATGGTGGGAGGGCGATGGTATATATGATGTAGTGATGGAAGCTTTGACGATGGACAAAATTCTCGGAGAAGATTCTAGCTCGTTTTGGTGTAAAATCGCCGCCCGAGGTTCCGCTGTTAATGTCTGTGCTTCCGAGTTGCTACGAACAATTGCGCATGCGACCTACCTCCGGAAGATGGGGCGAAATGCACTTTTTGCCAGTGGGCGACGCTGGTGGATGACGCGATGACGGCCTCTGCACTCTGTGTCATGGCCCTCGCCGTGCGTCGCGGTGCTCAGGGCTTGGCGCATCTCGCTCGCGTGTGGGGAAGATGCTTGACCATGGTGACGCCTGGAGCACCGCGAGACACGGCGACTCTGCCAGCCCGCCCTACGACATATCCAACGCACGCCCACATACACCTAGAACCTACGCACCCGCTGCATCTCGCCCTCGAACCTGTCTGCAGCCCCTCCTGTCAAACCCTCTAGCCTTCTGCGCTTAGACAACTGTGACGTAGAGTGCCTGCTGCCGCTGAGCCTCACCGGCTCCACCCAGCATCGCAGAGACATGCGGCCTTCTCCTGCCTGACCGCAAACTATGGCCGTCGATGACTTCCTGAGCAGAGACACCGAGACCTTTGTCTTGGCTCACAAGGCGTACTACCCGACCAAGATCCCCATCGCGTGAGCGCCAGCCAGACACTGCAATACCATGGGTCGACGCTGACGGGTGCAGACACTATCAATTGCGCCACTTCATCTCGTGCCCCGAACCAGATCTCGTCTACTATGCGAGTGGCGCCGCCGTCTACTGCCTCAATGCGGCTACACGAACACAGGCCCACGTTACTACACTGCCCTGGGAAGCGCGCTGCACGGCTTCGGGCTACGGCTACGTCTGCGTGGGGGGAGAAGAACACGGCAACTTCGCCGCCATCAAGGTGACCGGCTTCCCCCCAACGGATCCCTCCGACGTCGACGCCTCGTTGCCCTTGGACTTCCAGCACCGCCTGCCTCGCCCGCCCATACTAGGTGCAGCTTCGCGCGTACGCCTCGAGAAGATTGGAACCGATATCGTCAACTCCATATCCATACACAAGCTGCCAGCGGAAGGCAACGGTCAGGATGATGTCGTCGCAGTCCTCACCAACAACGACAAGACGGTGCGCATATACTCTCTTACACAGAATCTGGAGCTGGCAGTCATCGACCTGGAGTTCGCAATGAACCATGCTTCCATTTCCCCCGATGGCCAAATGCTCGTGGCTGTCGGTGACGCCCCCATTGGTTTCTTCTTCGAACGTACAGACTCGCGGAAGCCTAGCAATAAGATACGCGAGGGGCTGATGCAGTCAACGCCTCCCGTGTGGACGGAGCTACACAGAGTAAACCTCTATAGGCCCGCTCATTCCCATGCAGACGGCTACTTTACTACAGCTTGGTCCCCCTCAGGACGTCTCTGTGCAGTGGGATCAGAATGCGGCTACATCACAGTCTTTGATATCGAACTGTTAAAACTCGTCGAATACGGTGAAGACGCGATCCTACAGTTGATAAGTTCTACTAGGCCGGACAGTCGAACTGGGCCTGGCGCAGTGCGGACGATGCATTTCTCGCCAGCACCATGGGACTTCCTCATCTGGAGCGAAGACCAAGGCAGGGTGTGCATTGCCGACTTGCGAGCTGGCCTCAAGCTTAAGCAAACCCTCACGTTGGATCCGAAAGAGGAAGGTCTCGAGACAGTTGAGATAGCTGATTTTGACCTCAACCTCAGTCCTGAAATGCATGAGCTTCGCAGAGAAGCGGATCTGATCAGGAGATATCGACGCGCGTTAGACGGGGAAGGCAACACGACGACCGCCAATGTCGCGAATGAATACCTCGAAACTGACACTGAGCGACAGAGGCTACATCGACGGCTGGGTGTAGTAGAGTCTGACAACGATCCACTTGGCTTAACCGTGCGCGAAAGGCAAGTGCTTAGTGCTCTGCGGACAAGGCATAGGCAGCCTGAAGAGGCTCGGGATGAGCAGGAAGTAACGCCCCGAAGTATCAACTACACAACTTCTGAGCGACTCAACACTGTACCGTATGTGACCCATAAACTACTGCGGCAGTGTGAGACTGATGAGATGCAGGGAGCCTACAGCTCGAGAGGTAGCCGACGCGATGGCTCGCTTCATGGCAGCAGAAAGGACTGGGCAGACTCACTCACGCAACTGGCTCCAAGAGCGCACAACACCTCACCGTCGGGCTTCCGTCATCGTCTCCATAAACGAAGGCACAGTCAATGCCCCAGCTGCCCTCACCAATATCACTGACTCTGTCCTAACCCGCTCGCCAAACGCGGTGCCGGCACACGCGCGTCGCGTGACCAACGAGCTAGTTGCTTCGACAGATGAAGCGTGGCGCACTGTTCAAGATGCACTGGCTGCTGAACAGGACCGCGCTACAACCCGCGCTACTAACGCACATGCGCCTGGAGCCGACAGCCATGCTACTGCGCCTGAACTTCGCAGCGAGCTTCGTCGAATCCGTCAACTGACGCAGGCACGTGAACGTCTTCGCATCACCCGTGCTGGCCAGCCTATTCTTGAATCCTACGAGTTCAGCCTGGGTCTCCGAGGCGCAAGCCGAACGACACATGATGCGAGACTGGGCGTACGGACGGCAGGACTCGCCATGAGCCAGGATGGGCGGACTCTGTATTGTGGCACAGAAGAGGGCATCTTCGAGTTCAAGATGAACCTTCACGTGAGGAAGGCGTTCCCTGCAATTACTCCCCGATGATCGAGTTTTTTTTCGAACTTATGGCTGCTTCGGACTGGATTTCCTTTTGTCGTTGGATTCAACGCTGTCGCGGTTTTTGAGCTCTTGTGGGACGGTCAGGCATTTGGTACGGCGAACAGGTTTTGGCGCACAGCGAGCTAGGTGGGGAGGATGGTAATTGTGTTGTAAAGCCAGCTTTGTCACATTAGGTATACCCGCATAATCAGATAGTCAAAAGCATCCAGGTAATTTCGACAGGCGTATTGTTGTGGGTTCTTTGTCTGAATCCGGGGTAAGGGCCCACGACGCCCGTAGTTCGGAGGCGAGATAGCGCGGGCGATGTTCGGAGCGAGGGAAAACTGCCGATTTGTTGTCGATGGCGCAATTCCAGCGGTGACTCCCCACACGACGGGCTAACGCAGCCGTGCACATGTCTTTGATGCCGTGTTGTGACACTCTTGACCTCTGCACTCGTACACCCGTAACCTGAAGCCCTCTGACATTTAGACTGCTTCGCTTCTGGTCTTGCTTTGCCCTACATCGAACGGTTTCGTCATCGCCTCAACGCGACGCCTGGAACTCGTGCAGCCCCGCCACTCGGCTTCAATCAAGCCGGTACCGCGGACGCAGAACAACCGCAATGGCTGGAGAGAGCTCCAAGAAGGCCAATGCCGCTGGCAAGGCGGCCGTCCCGCTCGACCTCGACGGCCACAACCTCCCGCCATCGCCCGCGCCCAGCTCGCCCCGCAATGGCCGCAAGTATGCCCTCATGACGGAGCTGGTCTACACGGAGAGCAGCGACCAGTACAACGCCAGCTCTGTGCCCATCTACCAGGTATGCGACACTCGAATCTCGCTCGGGTAGCAGGTGGCGGCCAAAAGGCTAACATGCGCAGTCCGCGACATTCAAGCAGGAATCCGCGACCGGAGGCGGCGGCGAGTACGACTACACACGCTCCGGCAACCCTACGCGAACACATCTCGAGCGTCACCTTGCCAAGATCATGAACGCCAACCGCGCGCTTGTCGTCTCGTCTGGCATGGGCGCTCTCGACGTCATCACCCGCCTGCTACGACCGGGCGACGAAGTCGTGACCGGCGACGATCTGTACGGCGGAACAAACAGACTGCTCAAGTACCTCTCGACACATGGCGGCATCATCGTGCACCACGTCGACACCACAAACCCAGAGAAAGTACGCGAAGTAGTGAGCAACAAGACGGCCATGGTGCTCCTCGAGACGCCCACGAACCCTCTGATAAAGATTTGCGATATTCCCGCCATTGCTAGCATCGCCCACGCCGCGAACCCTACCGCCGTGGTCGCTGTCGACAATACGATGATGTCGCCCATGTTGCTCAACCCGCTCGATCTCGGTTCCGATATCGTCTACGAGTCTGGCACAAAGTACTTGTCCGGTCACCACGATCTCATGGCAGGCGTCATTGCCATCAACGACTCCGCGCTCGGAGATCGCCTCTTTTTCACAATCAATGCCTCAGGATGTGGTCTCTCGCCATTCGATTCCTGGCTGCTGCTGCGTGGGATCAAGACCCTTGGTGTCCGCATGGAGAAGCAACAAGCAAATGCCATGCGTGTTGCCACATTCCTTGAGTCCCACGGCTTCAAGGTCCGCTATCCTGGTCTCAAGTCGCACCCACAGTACGATTTGCACTGGAGCATGGCACGCGGCGCTGGCGCTGTGTTGTCCTTCGAAACTGGCGATGTCAACATTAGTGAGCGCATTGTAGAGAGCGCAAGGCTCTGGGGCATCAGTGTCAGCTTTGGCTGCGTCAACTCCCTCATCAGCATGCCTTGCCGCATGAGTCACGCCAGCATTGACGAAAAGACCAGAAAGGAAAGGAACATGCCTGAAGACATCATCCGATTGTGCGTTGGCATTGAGGATCCTGAGGATCTTCTTGATGATTTGAGCCGCGCTGTAAGTCCTGTCCTTCTAAAGAATGGCTTCCGTTTAGTTGCTAACATGTCTACAGCTTGTACAAGCTGGTGCTGTAAACATCACAACCGATGGCTTCCGCGCTCTGG